TTAGGCTTACGTACACATAGAATGTTATTTAGACAATTATCTCTCATTGATGATTTTGTTCTGAATTAAAAACTGCTGCTCAGATATAAGACTTCAAATCTTGGTCTGCAATACTGTAGTGACCACCCGTGGCTAAGGGAGACAACCAGCTATTGTTCTAAAATGATGGCCAAATTTGTTCCCCCCTATCTGGAAGCCTTTGAGAGGGAACTGACACCGATTCTAACCACTCCAACAGCTATCAAAATACCTGAAAGCAAATCCCAAGTCCAGCCTTGGCAGACAAAAGAAAAATGAGGAGGAACCCAACAGAGGGATGCTTTTGGAAGCCCTTGTCAAGAAATTCCAATAGACTCTCATATGAACATTTGAAAATTACCATGTTCTGACTTTTTTCTAAAAGTTCCCTGTCTAGAACTTGTAATGCTAATTACTCTTGCCTTTACTTCTCCTTCACATCTCCTATTCATCAGTCAAGGACTTTCTTTCCCCCCTACAGATAAGAGTTATGCAATTTGGGAGTCTTTTAGATAGAAGGGGTACTCTAATTGCCTCACCCTGCATCCCTGTTCAGCATGGAAGAAGCCAGAGCAGTCTGCGACCCAATTCCCTGTCCACAAGCTGGGTAACCTCTTCAGGGGATGTTGTGATAAGAACAGGAAGTAGGAACTGGCTAGGCAGTTAAGTGTAAAACCACCCTAAAGAAAAGTAGTCAGTTTTCCTGGCTAAAAGACAAAATGTCCTTGGGCCCCATGCCAAAAGTCAAAAATGTCAAAAGTATTTGGGAGCTTTTATCTAATTCTTAAAAGATTTTAGGGTTACCTCTTCAGAGGGGGTAATGTTAGAATAGCCAAAAGCCTCGTAAAAGAAGAAAGAGTACATGAAGTTATCAGAAAAAAAGTGATGGGGAGATATGGGAGGAGTTGGAGGGGAGGGAGTGGGCATGGATTTGATCAAAACACCTTATATGCCTGTATGAAAGTCTCAATAAATTATTTTTTTTTAAAAAAGCTAATAGTTTTAGCCAGGCATGGTAGTATATGGTTCCAGTACTCTGGAGGATGAGGAAGGAGGATCATGAGTTTGAGGCCAGTGTGGGCTACAGAGCAAGACCCCAACTCAAAAAATAAAAGAGCTAATAATCTCTTACCAGTTTTACAAGATAAAAATGTCTTTATAGCCAGGTATGGTAGCTTACGCTTTATGTCCTAGCCCTTGGGGGGCAGAAACTGGCACATCTCTGTGAGATCCAGGCTAGCCTGGTCTAGCCAGTGAGGTCCAGGCCAGCTGGGGCTACAGGGAGACCTTGTCTCAAAAAAAAAAAAAAGTATTAAAAACCTGGGTGTCATCTGGGTCTCACTGTGTTGTGACACTGGCTAGTTTGGAACTTACTGTATAGACCAGGCTGGCTTCAAAGTCAGAGATATCTGCCTACCTCTGCTTCCTGAGTGCTGGGATTTAAAGGCGTGTGTGACACACACAATTTTTTTTTAAAAAAAAACAAAACCTGCAAACACACAGTGACTCTCACTACCAGACTCTGATGGCTAGTGTGACAGAGTTGTTACAGATGGTTGTGAGTCACTATGTGGGTGCTGGGAACTGAACCCAGGTCCTCTGCAAGAGCAGCCAGTGCTTTTAACCACTGAGCCATCTCTCTAGCCCCTGACTTTGTCCTCTTCAAGAACAGGTTTGCAACAGGTGGGCCTGCCTGGCTGCCTAACGGGGTGGCATTTCTTTCTCAGTTGCTAGGGGCTTGCCTGCGATGCATTCCTATCAAAGTTCGGTTTAACCCTACACAGCAATAACCCTTTCAAGATCTTCTGCCTTTGCAGAGAGGTTTTTTGGGCTGACCAGAAACTATTTTCCAATGTTTCCCTAACACCATCTTCTCTATCTCCGGCAAGTTCCACTCCAATGGGCCAACCTCTGAGTCTCATAGACAGCACTGAAGAAAACTAGGGAACTGACTGCAGGAGAGGCTGGGACAATCAGCTGACCAGACAGACAGATCTCTGTTCCACTTGTCCCACTCCAGCATAGTTCAGGTCTAAGAAGTGGTTTATGGTCATAGATGCAAGTGGGACACTTATACCAGACACAAATTATAATCCGGGAGCAATGGCTAACAGCTACATAAGTTAGGGCAATATTTTATCTCTCTTTTTTCTTTTTTTTTTTTGGAGACTGGGTTTCCTTGTAGCCCCAGCTGGCCTGGAACTATGTAGACCAGGCTGGCCTCCAACTCACAAAGATCTATCTGCCTCTGCCTCCCAAGTGCTGGGATTAAAGGCATGTGCCACCACATCCGGCTTATATTTCATTATTTTTAGTTTATGTGTATGAGTGTATTGCCTGCATGTGTGTGAGTGCGGAGGTCAGAAGAGGGCTTCGGATCCCCTGGAACTGGAGTTAAGGACAGTTCGTAGCCGCTATGTAGGTGCTGGGAATCGAACCCAACTCCTCTGCAAGAGCAGTCAGTGCTCTTAACCGCTGAGCCATCTCTCCAGTTCCATACTTTTGTTTTTTTGAGACAAGATCTCCCTACAGCCCCCATCTGGCCCGGAACAAGCTATGTAGACCAGGCTGGCCTCAAATTCAGAGATCTGCCTCCCAATTGCTGTTTTTTGAGACAGGGTCTCATATAGCCCAGGCTGGCCTTGAATTCTTAAGTATCCTTTTGTTAACATTATCTGAGTGCTGACACCACCATACCCATCTCAATGCAATACATTTTAAAAATAAAAAAATGTAGAACTGGGGAGATAGCTCAGAGGGTAAAAGGGGCCTGCTGCCAAGTCTGATGACCTGAGTTTGATCCCCAGAACCCACATGGTAGAAGTAGAGAACCAATTCTAGCAAGTTGTCCTGACTTACACATGAGCACTGTGGTGCTCATGGCCCCACACATACACAAAACAGTTAGATAGACAGATGATAGATGATAATAAATGATAGAAACAAATAGATAATATTTTTTTAATTTATTATTTTTATTTTATGTGTATCACCTGCATGTATGTAAGTGCACCTGTGCTGTGTAATGCCTGCGGAGGTCAGAGGGTGTTGGAGCCCCTAGAACTGGAATTACAGATGGCTGTTAGCTGCCATGTGGGTGCTGGGACTCGAACCCAGGTCCTCTGCAAGACCATCCAGGACTCTTAACCACTGAGCCTTCTCTCTAGCCCCTTAAAATTTTTTTATATTTAAAAATAAATAAATAGCCGGGCGTGGTAGCACACGCCTTTAATCCCAGCACTCGGGAGGCAGAGGCAGGTGGATCTCTGTGAGTTCAAGGCCAGCCTG